AAATTCCATTCTTGTTTGAATCTAAAATAATAGGAAAATACTGTTTTATCCCAAAAATTTGCAATGGGCAACACATTAATGTCGAAAATATGCATTTATTTTGCAACTGAATTTGAAATAATTTCAAATTATTGTATTTTTTATTCAAAACAAAAATGTGTATATGTTTTGACAGAATAAGGTAAGGTAAATTACAGAAAATGCATAGCTGGGAAAGCTAATTTCATTCTACCATGGTAAATGTGAGAATACATAAAACGCTTTTTGAATGACTTAAATCATCACATGGCTTCTTCGGATAAGAAAAAAGGAGCGAGGGCCAAAATCGAGCAAAGCCAATCTACAACTCCTTTGTTTTTTTTTTACAATGGAGCCAGTCGATGATTTAAGCGAGTCAGAAAAGCCTTTTATGTACCTTAATACGAGTTTTTTTACAATTGAACTTGAAATAATTTAAAATTGTTTTCTTCATGGTACCATGGTACAATATGGAGGTAGAACAGCTTTGTAAAACTACAGAAATACAGCCCTGAGGCTATGCCCACTTTCTGTCAAACTTATTCAAAATTTTATGAAATAAGTTGTTTTCATTTTTTTCATACTTTCCCTCATTTTTAAATGAGTCAAATAGTGCGAAAAATGAATGAAACGCCCGGATTTTATCTCAAAGAAATGATCCAAACTGTTCAATATTTGAATTTAATTTCTAAACTGGTTAATAGCTTTAATGTGCAAGCCTCAATGTACGTGTCTATCAATCATTGGTTTCGAAAATATTTTTTTTTTTTTCATTTTCAAAACAATAGTAGTCCAGTACTTTTTTAGTAGTAAAACTAGCAGAAGAGAAAACAGTTCGAAATTTCATTCTCATTTAGGTGTGCTAAAAAAATAAGGGAACGGAAAATTATCAGAAATGCGATAAAATGTCAAAATTCCAAAAGTAAACAGTCAAAATCTGACTGGTAAAAACTTACTGAAAAGGACGCCAAAATTTAAAAAAATGAGTATTGAAGATGATAGCTTAAAAAGGGCCTGAGTGGTGTACATTTCTGCCTATTTTAGCTACATGAATTTGGCCCAACAGAAATGTGCTTATTGTAAATTTAATATTTAATTGGCAGGGCTAACAAGGTTGAAAAAAGTATTGATACATTTCAAAGTTCGCGCGTCACAACAAAAGTAATGAAAATGATCAACTTAAAAACTAAAGGAAAATCTAGTGTTTCTCATGCAAAAAACAGAAAGAGAAAATATGGAGCAACTAATGTATTCACTTTTGGATGATTCCAGCAGTGAATAGGACTCATGGTACAATGAATTCAAAGTAGGGTAGAACCATGGTACAATGAAGAGAAGGTAGGTCAACTTTGAAAAAATTGCAAGTATAGAGATCTACCTGTTTGGCTTGTAATGTCAGAATTAGTATCAAAACAATAAAAAATCAAACAACTTGTTGCATTTATTTTGAATAAATAATTGAAAACCGCGAAAACTGAATGAAAGGTCAACACTCCTTTTTAAAACCAGGTTCTATATATCTCTAAAGGATTATTTCGCTACAAAAACTCTAGATTTTGTCGATGCATACGTTGAAATAAACATTTTGAAAACACCCGAATTTGAATGTTTTCTGAACAATTTTTTTTGTCATTGAAAAAAAAAAACACATACATAAACAAATAAAGATGACATATTAAGCCAAGAAAATAAAAAAATTGAAATCATATGGTAGTTCTGCCCTACCTTGAATTCATTGTACCATGGGTAGAACTACATTATGATTTTATTTATTTATTTTTTTAGCTTAATATGTCAACTTCATTTGTTTGTGTGTGTGTATTCTTTTCAATAATAAAAAATGTTCAGAAAATATTCAAATTCGGGTGTTTTTAAAATGTTTATTGCAACGTATGCATCGGCAAAATCTACAGATTTTGTCGGGAATAAACCATAAGAGATATATATAACACGAATTTGAAAAGAAATTTTGCCTTTCCTTCAGTTTTCGCGGTTTTAAATTATTTATTCAAAATCAATGCAACAAGTTGTTTGTTTTTTTTTTTTATTGTTTTGATAGTAATTCTGACATTACAAGCCAAACAGGTAGACCTCTATACTTACATTTTTATCAAAGTTAGCCTACCTTGTCTTCATTGTACCATGATAGGACTGGCTGAATGAGGAATCATATTATTAATTATTATTATAGATCATTATTTTTAACTTATCGTCTTCAATACTCATTTTTTAAATTTTGGCTTCCTTTTCAGTAAGGTTTCACCAATCCGATTTAGACTGTTTACTTTTGGATTTTTGAATTTTGACATTTCGCATTTCTGCTAATTTTCCGTTTCCTTATTTTTTTTTTTAACACACCTAAATGAGAATGACATTTTGAACTGTTCTCTCTTCTGCTAGTTTTACAACTAAAAAATTACTGGAACACAACTATGGATTTTTATGTACTAAAATTTGACAAGTAAATTACAGAAAAATGCAGAGATGAAAATGCTTATTAAAATGACTTTACCTTCTTAATTTTACCATGGGTACAATGAAGACAAAATAGACTAAGTTGGAAAATTTCGCTAATAAATAGGCCTACCTGTATGGATTGTAATGTCAGAAATACTCTCAAAACAAAGGAAAAGTTGTTTATTATCAAATAAACAAAACAATTTGTTGCATTGCTTTTGAATATATTAAGAAAAACTCGAAAAACTGAATGAAATGTCTTCATTTCTTTTCATAATTATGTTCAATATTTTTCTAAAGATTTATTTAGCTACAAGAAGTTTGATTTTTGTACGTACATACGTGGAAATACGCATTTTGATTAAAACTGAATTTAAATATTTTCTCAACAATTTTCATATGATTGAAAAGAAGACGAAAATTGCAATGAATTCAATACCTTTTTAATTCAATAAATATAGATCTTAAGATGAGAACACATAAAAAAACTTTTTTGACTGGCTTAAGTCGTCGTCCGGCTTCTTCGTAGAGGAGCAAAGAAGTTTTATGTTGACTTAGTTCGATTTTGGGCCTATACTCATTTGTTCTCTTCCGAAGACGCCAGTCGATGACTTAAGTCTGTCAGGGTGAGAATACATAAATCGCTTTTTTGGTTGGCTTGGTTTTATGTAAAAGTACAAAGGAGCCTAGGGTGAACAAGTATAACTTTCATCCTAAAACTAATTTGTTCTTTTACGAAGAAGAACATTTTCCCTCATTTTTATAATGAATAAAAATGGGCGAAATATCAAAGTATTTTGGATTTTCTTTCAATATACGATACAATAGTTTCATTATTTAAATTTCGTGGCTAAACTGGTACATTTATTCCAATCATTGATTTTGAAAGTGTCTTGTTTGTATTTTTCAAAACAATAAAAAAACAAAATTGGCCGAAGCCACACTGAAAGAAATTTTAATCAGTTGGTAGCTGCGAAATCACTCCCAGCTCTGCAATTTGTATTTAGCAATTTTAATGTTTATTATCCACATTTACATGAGACAAGTTTACTTGTGGGAAGTCTTTGTTTGTAGGAAAGAGGGGTAAGGGGAAAGCTAATGGCAAAAATTTGCTCGTACTGAAAATGTCCTCGCAATTCCTTTTGTGTTTTTATTTGTTTTAACTTTATAAATAGCAATGACAGGAAAAGCAATGATGAAATCCAATTGCCTTGTATAAATGCAAGAAGCAAGTCCTAGGGCAATCGTATGTTTACAATTTTTTTTTCAAAATTATTCATTTGACATCTCATTGTCAAAAAAATATATTTATAAATCCATTGTACATACACAAATCAGAGATGGGAACCTGCCTTCTCTACAGTGAAATTTGACAATGTAAATTGCTTATTGAAATGACTTTACCTTCTTAATTTTATCGTTTGTTTTCATTTTTCAAAACAATAAATATATATACAAAATTGGCAGAAGTTTGCACACTTAGAAAAAAGGTCTACCTTACCTTTCATTGTACCATGCATGGCTCTATAAGAAAAGTTGATCAACTTGCAATAAATTCGAAGAATGCAACTCTGTGCTGGAGTCTTGTAGTGGCAAATAGACTTTTAAATATGCAACAGTTGGTATTGTTAATTTTTTTTTTAACAAAATTCTTATATTGGGGAAACCCCGTGAAACAAAAATGAAATTTTGGAGTTTGCTTACAAGTAGTCTGTTCCAGAACATTCATCTACTATTTTTTTAAATTTCGATATTATAAAAGGAAAATCTTTTGTCTACTTTTTTTTACTTCTAGCTGTTGAGGAACAGCCCAAAGAATAAATCTAAAATAGAAGGGCTATACAGTCTTATCCCAAAATTGTACAATGTGTTGCCAATTAACGTCGAAAATATGAATTTATTTTGTAATTAAATTGAAAAAATTTTAAATTATTGTATTTTTATTCAAAACAATATAGACGCATACACAAAATGTGACAGAATAAGGCAACAAAAGAAAAAAAAATTGTATTGAAGGGGAAGCTTTGTTTTACCTTCTGTAATTTTGACTTGGTGAGAACCATTTAGAAATGCAAAATTTCCACTTTATCGGACTACAAAATATATTATTATAGGATGAAACAACATAGTCCCTGTATCTTGGTTTCAATTTTGTTGAGAAAACCCAATATTTCATTCATATTTTGTGGCTTTCCCCCAAAATATTAATTTTGTGAAACATACTTTAATAAACAAAAGCAATTATTGCATGTTTAAAAATATATTTGCCACTATAAGACTCCGGTACGAAAAATTCTTCCATTTTTATTTGCTTTACAAACAGACACTTGCCACAAGTGAACTCGCCGTGTATAAATTTGCACAACCTTACACTCAGAGAAAGAAGTTGCTGAACAAAGAGTTACCAGATGTATATCTATCTTTCATACAATCAATCCTTGAGTTGATCGATCGCAGCAATCGATGCTCATTGTTTTTCTTTCTAGATGAAAGTAGTCATTTAACCGATAGTCGACTTACGTTTCCCTATTTGTATTTATTTTATTCGCAAAATCAGGAAAAAATAAGGGGAAATAAATAATTTTTTTCCAAAAATAATTAACGTTTCAAAGTTATTATTGGGCAGTAATTGCTACAACATCAGAAGAAACTCAAGAAATACACTTTCATATCAATTCACGGGCATTTGCCTTCGTATCGCGTGGTGTTTCTTTCTACGAACATTTAGGAACATTCATTTACGACGGCAAGTTTAATCAACACACCATAAAGCAATAACAACAACAAAACACAAAAGCAGCAACAATAACCGAAAAGAAGAAGAGTATAATAATACAATAACAGAGCCAGCCGACGAACGTGGAGCAAAAGAAAATACACAAAAAATAGAGAGGAGTGAGTTTGTTTATTTTTCTCGGGACTGACGGTCGGTAAAAACAGACACAGAATATTTTTGCCTTCTTCTTTGGATTTGAACATCACAACATTCTCATCATCATCAACGTCTAGTCGGGTTTTTCACTTGCTGGAACGTCGTAATCACCTGAATGTTCTAAGGATGTCGGAATACAGATTGACGGATCAGAAATATTCCGAGGCTGAGTACCTTTTTCAGGTAATTTTTTCCTCATTAATGTGACATTGTTGTGCTGGGAGACCGTTATATTTATTATAGTAGTAGACTTGGAACTGTGTGTGGAAGAGATGTGTGTATAATTCTTTTTTGTAATTCTTTTTTGTGTATTTTTATTTGTGCTTTGGCCGGGTCATCATTTTGCTACACATCAAATGGGAACCGAAATGGAATTAAAAAACAAAAACAGACAATCGAAATGGCCAAATCGGATGAAGAATTCGATGTGGAATTGTGTTCAACGCCACCCTCGCACACAGAACTGGAATTGGAGCTAAGCAATGATCCGCATTCAAGATACTCATGGACGCTGGTGAAGCGGCGGCGGCCTCGCCGACGTTACACAGTGTCGCACGGCGGTGGGGGAGGTGGTTCTGCCACTAATGGTTGCCAAAACGGTGTTGGAGGTTCTGTGTACTGCAATGGCTCAGCTGGAAATCTACCACCTGCCCCGCCCTCTACACCAACTTCTTCAACACCCACCAACACTAGCCTGCTATCGTCATCGTCGATTGTTAATGGTTCGGTTGATGAACCAGATCAACGCATCGACAGTCTTCTATACATTCTCGACTATGCACCCAAGTACAAAAAGAAACTAAAAGAGCAGCAACGTACTGATGCTGAATTAGCAGAACTATTTAATGTTGTCTCAATAACAGCCTCCAATGGTAGTTCGTCGGCCTCTGCATCGTCCAAAATGAAATTGCAACCGGAACGTGGTGTGGCGTCCATGTCACGGACCATACGCAAACCTTTGGGTACAACAAAGATATTCAAAATACACCGTAACCTAAAGGAGTTTTGGGAGACCGATGAAGAAGATTCGGTATCGGCGCCCGAATACGATACCGAAGAAGAGGATACACGTTTTCATAGACTGGGGCGCATCAAACCATCAGGAAAGCTGTTGCAACGAAAGCGGCAACGGCGTTTTGCCCGCTTCGAACATCAGGAACGTATGGAAGCCATGGTGGATATATTCGATGAGGCAATGACATTCAATGAAACTTAAATTTCAAAACAAATTTAGAGCTGCCTACAGTTATTGCCCACCAAACAGCAATTAAACCGGGGGTAATCTAAAGGGAGGGAGAATTGTTTGCAATTCTCTGCTCTGTAAATGTGGAGAGCGAATGAATGTCTGAATGTGTGGTATTTATGTTTAAGGGCTGGTGATTGCAATCCTGTAGTACGACTGAGTTGGAACTGTTTTTGTCTTTCTGTTAAGGTTAGTACTTAAAATAATTTGATAATGTCCGAACGTGTAATAATGATATTGTAATCACCACAGGGATTAAAATTTTTGAAGAGTGTATAACTGTTGGGGAAGTAGTGATATATATTTTTTTTTTTTTTTTTGATCTAAAATATTTTTAGTGAAGCAGTGTTCTACAATGTGAATAATGCTAAATAAGAGATCTATGGAAGTTTTTCGAACAATGATATGCATGTTTTTGAAGATGTTTTATGAATATATAAAATCATCATTGTGATGTTTTTTAAATAGAATACATCTTTGGGTCTTCTATAGCTGAAAGCTAATTTAATGACATTCTTTAGGCCCGATCCGATCCGATCTGGCAGGTGCAACTGTAAGATCTGTAAAAAGTAGAAAGAATATATGAGTCTTATTTAAATAGAAAACCTTATTGGGTTTCTTATGGATAGAAGATCTTTCATTTTGTGAAATATAGAAGGTTTCCAATTAATCTTGATTGTTTTCTGTATTAAGAAAATCTCTTTAAGAGCTTCTTTAGATTTCATATAGTCTATATAGTTGTGGGTACTCAATATATTTATGAAGTCTAGTACCCGTGCAAATTTTTTTATAGAGGTCTTTATAAAATACTTTTTAAAGTCTATAGGAGTGCTATTAATAGTCCGCTCCCGTTCTTTTCATAGGTAACAAGAAACTAAAGTTATCTCCCCGGTAAATTTAAATCGGCTGCAAACGAAACTATCCATTCAAGACCATAGCTAAGGCCTGTGATACTTCTGCGATAACTTTTTGTCAAACCCTTATTTCAGCGTAACCTTGTCAATCACAAACTGATAAGAAATCATCAAGTTAATTATTTTCTAGATAAGAAATTATAAATTGCTTAAATTGACAAAAATAAACTTTGATAGGTTTTTTAGCGAATTAATAGTAATAGCTTTTCCTCACATTTGTTTACATCTGTTACGAATCCACTTGGATATATTTGAAGTTTTCCGTAAAGCTAAAAATATTTCTATGTAATACATTTTGGAACTTTACAACAAGTCTTACAAAATATTTCTGTAGAATGGTTTTATATTAATTCTCACCATAAAGAAATACTAAAAATTTGATCAATTGTATTACTTCATTGAAGTATAAATTTTTTACTCTTTATGTGTATTTAAATTTTTTACACATTTTATAAAGTTCGAATAATGGGACTGAACCCAACAGTTATAAAATTAGTTATAGACAAAATAATGTATAAAAATGCAATACCAGCCCTAAACAATAAAATAAAAAAACGTAAACAAAACAATAAAAATTAAAAAAAAAATAAGTAAATGTAACTTAAAAAAGAAAAACAAAAATGAAAAAGGGTCTCAATGTGATGAAGAATGAATTTCTGTATAATTTAAAATTAATTATTATTTTTAGTTTTGTGTTTTTTTTTTAATTTCAAATACTATAATAGTTTTTTTTTTAATTAATATAATAATTTCTTGAATAATGAATTAAGATTTTGTGTTTTTTCTTTTAGTTTGTTGATAAGAAATCAAAAATATAAAGCGATAGAAATTATCACAAAAATCACAAAACAGAAAACAATAAACACAAACAAAACCTCAGACTACAAACAAACATAAACAAATAATTTAAAAACAAAACTGAAATCGAATTGTTAGTACCTTTTCCTCATTACAAAACAAACAAAACAACAAAAAACTAATGCTTCCTTTGACAATTCTTCTTCATTCTATAAGATAACACAAATTACTATTAATCTCTAATTTTGACACCCTATGAAAGAAAAATATAAAAATCCCCAGGGGTATTTAGGGTGGCAAATTCTATATTGTGATTATGATTAATTGTATATTTTTAAAATTGATTTAACTCCTGATTTTTTCTGTATGTAATCCAGATAGATGATTTTTATGTTCCATTAAAATAATTTAAACTTTAAATTTTGTGAGAGTGTAAATTTTTCCCCATTTGATATTAATTTTTAAGTACAGATGCAACCCAAATACAATGGAAACCAAAATCAATTCAAAACCTACAACTCCAACTCACTAAACAGATGAATTTATACGTTATTAACAAACAAAACAACAATGTTGTCCTTCTTTAGTGTTATATCTGTATATTAAATTATTATTATTACTTTCTGGTTTTAGTTTAAAACGAAATCAAACGAAATTCTGTTCTCTTTATATATACGAAAAAAAAAAAAAACATACCAACCTACATACATAATCGAAAGAAAGATATAATATATAGTATTCCATTTTATTGTGCGATATCATGGACTTTCTCCTTCTCTTAGTTTATAAAACCTTTTTTTCTTTTTTGGACGTATGGACGGACGTTCCTTAAAAAGAATTTTCTATATACATACATGTATGCATATTTTATATTTTAGTTCTTTTTTTAAAAAGTTCCAAATAAATTTTGAATGTATTGTATCATGTAATAACTAAATAAAAAAATAAAAACAAAAAAATGAAAGAAAAAACGACAAAAAGAAAATAAAAATTATCTCTAAATAATTAAAATACAACTTGGTATTATTTATAATTTAAGCTAAGCTGTCGTGGTCTGGACTGAAAATCGTTTACATAAATTAGCCTCAATTTTAAAATTAAATAGAATAAATAAATTAATAGGATATCAGACATGTTATTCAGACATGTCACAGAAACGAATTCCGGTCGAAAGTGGAATTAATTCAGTAATTTCTTCTTCAGAAAACGAAATATTTTTTTTCGGAATGCAACAACGTTTATTTGTGGTCCGAAGCATCTCATAAATTCCTCCGATGTATTTTCTCAGTATTCTCAATTATAGAAGCAATGATACATCCGACATAAAAATTAACTTTCTTCCACACAAAAAAGTTCTTTAAACATAATGTTTTTAATTGTTTTATTTCTTTCATTTTCATATTTACATAATGTGATTTTCGTAATTTACCAACTCGATTGAAATCTGAAAAAACTAAAACAAAAACGATCGATTTTAAATTACGTAATTGAATACATTGTATTCGGAATTTTTGACATGTCTGTATGTTAGGTTTTTGATACGCAGCTGCTGTAGTTCACGTTTTTCAGAATGATAGTAGAAGGGAATGGCATAGAGATGGTGCAGTAATATGCAGAAAATGTTGAAGTTTAAACTCCCAATAGCCCAAAGTTATTCCATAATTACTTAGCCATTTAGAAAATTTGAACAGGGCCTTAATTCTTGTTCCACGAAAATGTGAAATGAAATGTCAAATGAACAATTTTATAAAGGAAATATTTTTCATATTTTCATAGTACAAGAATCCAGCCCCAGGGCCGTAGTATCTATACATAAAAGAGATTGTGATTCATGGATTTTATTGGTAATGACTTGAGTTGAGTGAGCCGGACAACGTTTCAAAACATTTAGTGTAGCACATATTTCGGCTGGGAGTACATTACAGTTATCGATGAGCTTGTATCCTGTATTATCCTACATCTTTGAAGAAAGTCAAACTTTTATTTTCAATTTGCCCTCGGTTAAAAAGAAAATGATTTTTAAACAGGAATGAGCCGATAAATTTCTTATTCATTTCTCTCTCTTGAGAGAAATATTTCGATATTTCGTGGAGGATGTAGAAGGTGTGGTCTGTTCTGTCGGTTCTTTATACTTTAAATTTTTGTTGGTGAAAATATTGAGATGTACGAAATTTGAAGACAATCGGACTCATATTTCACATTTTATAACAGTTATAATTTTTCTAAAATTTGATCTTTCGTGGGGGTGGTAATTGAAGGAGTTTGTCAATTTTTACATTTTCGTACCTGACATAGCACTGAGAAAAATATTAGGATTTTCAAAGTTTGCACAATGAAGATACTTTCTTGTTCTATGAGATAAAATATTTACTGTAAAAATGTTGGGGAGGTACCAGAAGGAGTGGACTGATATTGACCATCTCTGTACTCGATCTAAGTTTGATAATATTACGATGTAGCAAGTTCGAACCAAATCAGATACTATCTTCGGGAGTTATGGTGCGCACCAGCCAGCCAGACAAACCAACGTACGGACGGTCAGCACTATCTAGTGGGACTCCAAATGTACGAAACTATGATTAGTTTAAACCCGTTAATTCGAAGAGGCACATTTTGGCCGTATCAATTAATCACCCTTATTATGGTTGGCGTTGTCGTAGGCGTTCAAGTGTCGTAGACGTAGTCGTAGGCGTTGTCGTAACTAGAAATTTTTGGTATTATGTACAGTTTTCGACTACGTCTTTTTTGTAATAGATATGAAAAAGCAGGGTGCTCTGGAATAATACATATTTTTTGATTGTTCGAGCTACCCGGTTAAAAGAAATAAAAGCGTCAGTTGAAATGGTTGAAGTAAAACGATTATTTGTTTAATTAAATATTGAAATATGTTAAGTTCTGGCAATTTTTTAACTGAGGATGAAGATGAGTATTTTCAAAATGATTTAAAATGGAGGCGAAAAATAATGCGGGTTATTTGTGCTCACAGAGGGAAGCGTACAGACATTGTGGATGACCATATCCACATGCTTCTGTTGCGTATTTCGGTGTAGTCTGTTTACCCTTGGAAAAGTCAGTGTGCAGGGATTGTGGTTTTCTTTGTCTTCACTAATTTCAAACCCTCCAAACAGTTCCTCCTCAGTCTCCAAATCACCAGGTGTTGGACGCTGTTGAATTCCAATTGTTTTTCCCTGCATTAACAATTGTCTCTAATTGTAACAAGTGTGATGCTGCTTCCTCTGTGTCGCTTAAAATGAACTGCTTGAAGGGGCTTCCATCTGTAGCACGACATTCTGCCTTGGTATGAACTAGCTTTTTCCTCAATTTGAATTTGTTGTCGGTCCAGACTTTTATCCAACCGGCGGTCCTAGGATATTGAATTTTGCACCATTCTTCCTTGATGTTAATTTTTTTCAAGCCATTGCTGTAACCTCTAGACAAATTTCGATTAATTTGCAAGATCTGGATCGTTTTGTCAAATTGTTTCTTTGTTCTGACCATAAATCTAGAAAAAGATTATTAAAATCCATTTTGTATATTATTTATTCTTTTGTAATGTCAATTTGGATAAACTTTTGTGTGGTGTCGGCAACAAAATCTCTAACGACTAATTTTGCAGTGTTTGTCGAATTAGAACGCGTCTTGTGGTACGAAAATTGTAACAGAATTTCATACAGAGTTGTAATTTCTCGCATACGACACACATAATACCAATTAGTCGTTACGACGCGTCAACTTGCAATTTTCGACACGACTACGCCAGCCGTAATAAGGGTGAATATATACCCTCTGTAGCCATTCGGCTATGGCGAGAATTAAACGAAATCCGCCACCCTCCATCTTCTTTACGATCAGTGGGAATGAGATAGTTATTTTCAAATTCCAAGCTTTAAGGTCATGTAAAAGAAGATTGGTGCTTCAATGGTGAATGCATCATTTCATGAGTCCAGATATCTAAACAGAGAATTCTACCATCGAATTGTGATCTTTCACTCATAGCAAATCTTTTAGAAGCCCTGATATAAAAATATAATTATGTTTTTTAAGTTTTGCCTTGTTAAGGTGAATCACTTATGTTTATGATTTATGTGTTTATTTCTCTTTCGAGACGAGCTTTATGATCTAAAATTGGCAGTGAAAAGGAAAGCTAGATATGCAATATCACACCCAGACCACTAAGTGACGCGTTTCGCCGTTAATTAAGCGGCCCATCTGGCATATTTGGTGTGGATGATGGCTTGCAAGTGACGTTCTTTGGAAAGATGTATTTATTTCGAACTTATTGCAATTAAGCATATGCGAATTATACACCAGAAACCCTCCAAGTTCGACTCAAGTTATATTAGAAAATCTTTTTCGCAGCATCTTTTGTTTAATTGAAACTTGACGCATAACTAGAGCAACTAAAGATAGTCGCTTCACATAATAAATAGACTACGCCCAGAGGCTCGAATAATCTTTACCTTAAACAACACATGTGCACACTAAAAAGCTAAACTAAGTAAACATTAACTTACACGTCCATGGTTCGTTTTAATCCTTTACCATTCTGCTTTGGTCTGGATTTACGAACTCATCGAAACCCAATGGGGTTACAACGGTTATCTGTCTGGCCATACCATTCAATCACCCGAATAGGCCAACAAATTCTTACAAAACGTTTTGGGCGTTGATTTTCACGTTTCATTTAATCGAATTTTTCATCGTAATAAAATGATACAATATTAAATACGAAAAATATGCCATCGAATTTCATAGATACGATGCAGCTTGGATGTATTCCACACCCTTTAATAAGCACAAAACCAACGAATTTTATTCTTTGAAATACAGCACTCTGACATTTATTGTATTCTTCACAAGCTTTGTACTTAAAGTACCGTAAAAATTATATTATATGTATTTATTTACAATAAAAAACATTAGTATTATATAACAATAACTCGGGTAAAATAATCAAGCTGTATAAATTGTCAAATATTCTAATTTTTAAAGCACATATTTTGAATAATATCAAATTAAGGTGTGGGAAAATAACACCTTAAAATCCATTAAAACTTTCAATAAAAAAATTCAATATTCGTAAATACCATGAGTGAAATACATACAAAGTGTATGTAATGTAAACACATGCGAACAAAATATATTTCGAGACTAGACCTAAGAGCTAAAGGAAAATTGTTACAAAATAACCAAAAGAAATACTAGAAGCCTTAGCAATATGACCCTACTCTAATTATACATTTATATAGAAAGAGAAATGAAAAGTTAACCCTCTGAACTGTTAATATTTAAGTCAAAAACAAATTGATAGAGAGAGCGAATTTAGATAATACGTCTCAAAAAATTTTCATTTAAATTTTGTTCTAATTTTTCTGGATCTGTGACAGGCATACGACACACCTTGTCATGACATATGTACACCGTGGGCTTGCCATTGATCATTTTGAATTTTTCTTGTACCCGTTGATTGTATTCATGTCGCGAGTTTTGAGGATCAACATGTACGATAATCATGCCAGGTATATAGTATTTACGACAAATTTCCACAAAACGTTTTGTTGTCTCAGAATCTGGGCCAACGACGGCTACCAAATCGAGTCCATTTTCATACAGCAAAAGCCCCGACAACATTTCGGGTAAGGCATAACCGAAGGGTTGTTGATCCGCAAAGAATTCAAAGAGACTTGCAGCACGTTTACTGTAACTTTCGTCATCCATATAGTGGGAGAGCAATATAAGATTACGGGCTGATACACTATTGCCACAGGGTTCGGCACCATCATGATCTGGAAATAAAAGTTGTAACGGTAAATTTTCAAGTTCTATTAGTTATGTCTGCACACACACTCAAACTATGATAGGTATGAGACATTTTTTGTGGGTGTAACAAGGACTGCACCGATATAGGAAAATTCTAAGCTTCCTTTGAGATTTGTTATATTTTAATCTGTTATCAATTGCGAGTCTTTAATATCAAATTTAAAAAATGTTGCTAAAATCGTCAAAATACTAAATATTGGTAGGGAGATCGTG